TGGATTTTTTACACAGAAACACAGGCTGACGGCCATGTCAGAATACGAGCCATTGGCAAGGTTTTCAGACAAAAGATTTTTGAAAATGTTGCTGAGTGAGATCGCTCAAACACCTTATTCTAGCTCGATCAACTTCACTCAGGCGTGCTGTTTGTGACCTCTGGCGCTAACAACCACATCTCTGTCTGCCTTTCGTTGCGCCAATGTGTCAACCTACCTGGGAGCATCCTGCCCGCCATAGACGCATACATCTCTCCCTGTGTTTTCACCTACGCTGTCCCATGTCCAATGAAATTGTCACTGGTAGTTCGCGCATTTAGCCATGCCAATCAAGTGAACAATCATTAATGCGCTTTATGCACCAACGAATATTGAATATTCGTCTACAACATACACTCTAAGGAGACGAATAAATTCTGCTAAATATTTGACAATTGTATCTCGTGCACTGCCATTATAAAAAGGTTAGATTGGCGATATCATGGATTTGGTCTGGTAATAATTTGTGTTTGACTACAGCTTGATCCCTCTAAGTGCGTGACAACTTGGGAACAACTGACGCATCTTACGCCCGTGTGCGTGCATATATGGCTTTGTACTTCTTTCTGGTCGAAGATGTTGAGAGCAATGGAGTGGGTGACTGGCATCAGTAAGTAACTTGGCGCCAGTTTTTCGTAGGAGCAAACTTGACTGGACCCAATGATGGTAATAAACGCTAGCGTAGCCTTTCCGCTGCAAGCAGCAAGATGCTTCAGCGACCCGTTGATCACTTTGAATTGCCCGAGAAATAGAGTTCGGGAATTATCTAAGGTGTGCAATACGTCCGATATGATATTTCGCAACAGATGATAAAATAAAGAATCAGGTTACGATGCACACATGGTGTCCTAAGTCCGGAGACTCAGCAAGTTCGTCACCTGGCATTAGCGAACGTTTCATTCACGTGATGCGACCACGTAAGATCCCGGTTTAGTGTACCTCCGATATTGCACTACTGCGCAGGAGTTTATGCTGACACTGTCAAAACTAAGAGATGGGGAGAGGGTGAATTTATGCGCATGTGAACTTGCGCGAACAAGAGGTGAGTTTCAGTCCTTAACAAGCTAACTTACTAGCGCTATGCGTGGACTTTCATGTAAAACCGTATAGCACGTCTAACTGTGGACAGGTCTTCCCAATTCTAACTGTTTTGCAACCATTACGTACAATAAAACACGGTTGCGGAAATTTATCCCAGGTTTTATCTGAAGATATCACGAATGAGGAAGATTGAGCACATTGTGGGTACTATGTGCCAAGCCGTCACTGTCTTTAAAATTTACCGAACACACACAACGAGAACCAGTAATGTAATAACATAAGAAAGGCTGCTAGGTAAGTGATTAGACTAATCCTAACAGTAATGCTGTTGATTTATGGCTTTTACTGATCTAGAGCCAATTTCCGAGCTATATGTAGGCCAATATGAGGTTTGTGTCTTTGGGAAAGATTTTACTTTTATCATGCGTCAAGTTCTTTTATCTTCACTACTTACTGATAATGGACTTTTCTGTGCAAGCCTAGATTGAACAACGAAATGAGAAGACGAATATTGGCAGATGCTTGCATTTCGTATTATATCGTAAGTACCAATACAATAACACGGAAATCCTTTTACATGTCTTAGAGGGCACAGTCAAACCAATCAAATTTATTGTTGTGGTCATTGTTGTTGGGATTAGGTCCACGGCAACCTCAGGTTGACAACTAATTGCTTTTGGACACACAAAGCTGGTCTAATTCGGCTTATCGCGACGGCCTCGGCAAGTCGTAAAAGGCGTGCATTAGTATGACGTAACAAGCTCCGGAACGCTGATAAGGTATTAACCCGGTGACGAGTCGCCAAGATGTGTCTGCCTATGGAGGACGCTGGCGGCTTATGCGAACACGTATCATCGGAGGTGGATTGGGTAACTTCGCGCTGAACCCAGTTTGGTAAGTGTTCCTTCACTCGGGAATCTAAAACCCGTTCGGTCCTGCCGATGTAACTTATACCGCAGTCACACACGAATTGGTAGACACCATGTGATTTGGCGCCGAGGTGTTCATCTTCCTTTACTGAAGGTAACGGCAACTTTCGGGTTCTGTTGATAATTACTGCCTCCGAAGCACAGTAGGTACGCTTAATGGCCGAGACAATGCGTTTGCTTATCCTTTTTGCTGCGGTGTCACCCTTGAATGGTAACTCAATGTACACCTTCTTCTTAGGGGCTGTCAACACCATCTCCTTGGGCGGTCTAACTTGGCTTTGTTTGTCTATGAATCGCTTTGGGTAGCCATTCTCCATAAGTGTTTTCGTAATCAGCTCAAACTCCTCAGGCAAGCAGTCGTTTGAGCAGATACGTCTGGCCCGAGGAAATAATGTTTTTACCAGCGCGCGCTTGTGTGACGTCGGTGAGAAGCTAGTGAAGTGTAGATATTGGCCAGACAACGTTGGCTTCCGGTATACAGATCGCTTAATCAGCCCATTATCCCTGCGACTCATGAGAATGTCGTGGTACGGAAGACGCCTATTTGACTCGAATTCAAAACTCACATTCAGGTTGGCGTGAACATTATTAAGTTAGTCTACTAATTGTTCGATTTGAATCTTCGTGGAACCGAAAACAAGGATATCATCTACATATCGTTTGTAATACGGCAGCTGAGAAATCTGTCCATTAGTTTCCTCTCAAGCATCAGCATGAAAAAGTCAGCCAGTACCGGTCCGAACGGACTACCCATAGCCACTCCGTCAATTTGGCGATGTGTGGTGTGATCGAATTGGAAAGCGACCTTCTCCGTGCAAAGTAACAGGGACAGTCTTAGGAGGTCTGCCGGTATTGGTAGACGGAAACTCCCCTCTTCTATCAGGTGGCAAATGTAATCAACTGTCTCAAGCAAGGAGACAATAGTAAATAACGATTGGACGCCCACTGAGCACATAACCATGTCGGCTAGGCTGATTTGGTCTAGGTCATCGATTATTTCAAAAGAGTCCTTAATGCTGTGCAAATTGTAGTGCTGCCTCAGTGGCGCAAAGATCCGAACTAACAGCGAGCCAATTTTGCTGCGGTGAATTTACCATGGACATAATGGGTCTTAGTGGCATGCCCTGCACGGGTTGCCAAAAGCTCCCTCGGGCCAGACGTATCTGCTCAAACGACTGCTTGCCTGAGGAGTTTGAGCTGATTACGAAAACACTTATGGAGAATGGCTACCCAAAGCGATTCATAGACAAACAAAGCCAAGTTAGACCGCCCAAGGAGATGGTGTTGACAGCCCCTAAGAAGAAGGTGTACATTGAGTTACCATTCAAGGGTGACACCGCAGCAAAAAGGATAAGCAAACGCATTGTCTCGGCCATTAAGCGTACCTACTGTGCTTCGGAGGCAGTAATTATCAACAGAACCCGAAAGTTGCCGTTACCTTCAGTAAAGGAAGATGAACACCTCGGCGCCAAATCACATGGTGTCTACCAATTCGTGTGTGACTGCGGTATAAGTTACATCGGCAGGACCGAACGGGTTTTAGATTCCCGAGTGAAGGAACACTTACCAAACTGGGTTCAGCGCGAAGTTACCCAATCCACCTCCGATGATACGTGTTCGCATAAGCCGCCAGCGTCCTCCATAGGCAGGCACATCTTGGCGACTCGTCACCGGGTTAATACCTTATCAGCGTTCCGGAGCTTGTTACGTCATACTAATGCACGCCTTTTACGACTTGCCGAGGCCGTCGCGATAAGCCGAATTAGACCAGCTTTGTGTGTCCAAAAGCAATTAGTTGTCAACCTGAGGTTGCCGTGGACCTAATCCCAACAACAATGACCACAACAATAAATTTGATTGGTTTGACTGTGCCCTGTAAGACATGTAAAAGGATTTCCGTGTTATTGTATTGGTACTGACGATATAATACGAAATGCAAGCATCTGCCAATATTCGTCTTCTCATTTCGTTGTTCAAACTACTGAAGGGGACTAACTGTTTTAAAATTCCTAAGGCTAGATTGACCAATTATCTGGAAAATGATTTACATTATCATAGTGCGCTGTGGTCCGCGTTTTCGACAGATTGTTCCAACCAGAGCTTGACAAATTAATGAGTACTGTGATAACGCATGATGTTTAGATTTTACTAGATCCTTTCCTGACGCCATTCACTTTAGTTGGTGCATAATGGCATCCTCTGCAAGATGTATGAATAAATAGTTTTATTCTCAAGGAATCGAGACACACCAGTACAGGCGGGATCATGTGGTTGTCGGAGCCACAGGAGCAACGTAAGCGTATGTACCGCATACTACAATCAAGTGCTCGTAAAATACATGCTTGGATAAAGGTTACATAATTGCCATATAGGAAAGTCGCAAAGAAGATAGGCATGTTCACTGGAGACAGGTACATACGTGGCGCGGAAGCACGAAAAAACAAATGTTTTCTTTACAGAAACGCTGGGTGGGTTCTCGAATAGTTCAGGAGATTGATCTCCATTATTCCGTGTGCGTAGGAACCCGATAGAAGTACAGTTTACAGTCTGGGCGTGCTGGTACTTCGAAACTAATTCCTTATCACCTCGATAACTAAAATAAAATAGCCTTCCACTCATGCTGCCTGAACGTGCATGTCAGTGTAAAAGAATAGCAGGCTGGACAGAGTTCAGGAAGACACCAAATGAAGCTGAATGGGCCTGAGTGAAAGAAGCAGAGTTAAATCAACTGCGTGAGATTCAGCTCAATACTGCATTTGATTGAGCGGGCTGTAAACGATGCACATTGAAATTATTCACTGTTTTTCGTGTCTTGCGGATAAGACAACATTCTATTGATCAGGCCATCAGGGATGGGTAATCGATGTTCCCAGTTAACGAGAAGCAATGCAAACCAGTGTTGTTGCTCACATTTGCTATTCACTCGATGAATTTGCTTACCATACATGCATATCCAATCCGTGGATTTATGCACTCTGTTCATTCTCACAGATTTCGGAGATATTTTGCCATTTCTCCACTCGAAAAGAACCACGATCGCAGTTTTTCACATCCGAAGGAGTGATGGACCATATTATCGACTGCCTGCTCTACCGATTAAACAGTCGTGGAGTTAAGGATGCACCATCTACTGCTATTGGTATTCCTTCTCCGAAATCGGCTCAGTATTTGGTTTTATTCAACTGGATCCGCCTGTTGGCATGCTTGACGGAAAGTGCAGCGATATGTCGCCGTTTGACTGGTTGCTACGACATGCTGTCTCCCACCAGTGATGACAAGGGGTTTTGCAATCCTGCTGAGGCACATGGTCGGATACAGGAACTGTGTAAGGCGATGATGACAGTTTGCGACCTGTTCCCGGCGGAACAAGTGAGTAAACGGAGGATTCAATTTGCGACAATCCTGTGTTAGAATAAGAGGATCACACATGAACAGCTCTTAAAGCGAAACCATTCCTTTCACATAAAATAGATAATTTTGGACTTGCAAATAGGCCTGCATGTAGAGTGGAACTCGATCCACCTAAGGCATATATCTACTAGGTTTAATATAAGTTGAAACAAGATAACGAAATTAGTTCATGTAAACGGTTTGGTGCATGTCAGCATTTGGCCAATAAAAGTCTAAATGGAACATGAAAATGAGAGTATTTCCTCATGCTAAAAGGTTGCAGCCAAACTCCATGCGCATCCATATTAAGGTCATGAATTTGGAACAAATAAGCGTAACGGCGTCAAGAGAGAACATCAGTGCATTTTTGTATTAAATGACGTGTGTCATGATTATGGTCGCAAAGAAAGCGAAGCTTAAATTACCACGTACTGCGAACTCTTGTAGTCCCGGGTACTGACTAGACGGTATTTTTCTAGGTTTTACAAAGTCACTCGTAGCAGATAAGTTAAAGTTCAGTGTTCATTAATGCTCACCGTTCGCATACTCCCATTGGGAATTTGGGTAGAAACGAACCACCTCATTCTCTCATAATGGCCATGAAAGACGATAGCTTGCTGGTTATTAACCCGTTTCATTGTCTAAAACAAGAGAGCAGCGTCGTCCTTTTCTAGTCTCTATTTCCCCGAATAGTGGCAAGAGTAGGTAAGCTTCCGAATGGGTTTTGACGAAGTGCCTGCTCGTTCTAACTTTTGAGATAAATGTGTTAAACCTAGTGACTTAATGGCATATCTCAGGATGTGTTTGAAATCAAAGGTGGACACGTGCTTTTCTTGTTCTGTTACCCTTTGCTAAAAGTATGCAACTCCACTAAATTTCAGTGAACAGCTACTACGTCAATCAGCTTTACTGGAGGTTGACCTAGAAGACAACGATTTTTTCTTGTTCCCACACACGCTATCAGCAGTTACGTATGCTAGCCGACGTGACATCCACCGGAAGAGTGGTGCACAATGACCTTAGGGTTGCTGTGAGCAGCAGAAAAATTCAGACAAACTATCACACCAAGCAAAGATATAGCATGAAAGCAGTCCAGGACTTCATACCGATCTCATTGTAAGAGGTGTGTTGGTGTGCACACCATACTTTATAAGTCAGGACCCAAGTTTGCAACAACACGCGCGTCCAGCGTTAAATGATGTTTGGCGGGCGGTAAGTTTCCCACGTAACAATTACGAAAAATAGCACTTGCTGACAGGAGATCGCCGACTGACCCTGTGCATCTACCTATTGTGTCCAGATTGGACACAAGTGCGGTGTTGTGCGTGGCTCCACGTTTATTGGTGCTGCGTTATATGCCAGACAGCTAATTATAACCGCAAGAAAGGTGTCTCACCACTCTGCCTAACTTGTATACGTTTGAAGCCGCAGGCTGTTGGCATGTGTAACCTCACTTAAACTGCGTTCTTGTTGAGACTGTTATGCGTTTGTCCTAGGCACTCTTCTCTATTCGTATACCTCACCAGTGTGATTGTCATTATTTGACGAAGTGAAAAAGCAATCTCAAGCAGCGATTTGATTGGCGGCATCCGGTTTCGGATACGCCTGTCACTGTGGCAAGCCACAAGACGCCCGCGCCTACAGAAGAACCATGGGTGGCTTGTGCTGCACCACGCACAGCTCCAACCACACACCCCATATCCAGTGTAAACCAGAAGGAATAAGACCGGGAGGCATGTGGATAGAAGCCACGTTTCATCAACGGAGCCGGCCCACACTCCTTCACAGGCAAACACAAGCACGCTGTATTTGGGAATCAGGCGCACACAAGGCGGTGGCTGGACCGTAGTCCGCTCCACACTGAGTGCATGGAACCACTCTTCGAGCCTAACACGGCCACAAGGACCGTGCAGTTCGTCCCCTCCAGCAACTACCAACTGTCTCCTGGAGCCAGTATGGACGAGTTGGTGGGTAATAGATTGGTAGGCACCTTTGAAGCATGCACATCAAGCGCAGCCATACCGGGGATGTAAAACAACAGCCAATCACTTGCAACGACAAGATTAAATAAAATAACTTGGGTAACACATAGAGATACGGCGGAATAACTCTTCACTATATGGGCGTAGAAAATAACTTGGTTACAAACGAATCTGCGATAAGGTAAAGTGGTGAGAAGATATATTTTAAGAAGATGCCACAAACTCGAAAATGTTATCGAAATTAACTACAATTAGCTTCAGCGACATGTGCAAGATAATAGAAGACAGTACAGCTACGCATTAATATGAGAAAGATAAGTATTAGGACAAAATTGCAAACCCACCACCTGAAATCGAATGCAGCCTACCTACAGACGCCGTGCCGGTTCTGCCTACGTTCTCTGCAGGACCCGTCGTCGCTTTGGTTGTGATCCCGAGTGGCCTCGCTCATGGCTCACTGGGCCTGCCTGACTCAGGCACTCGAGACCGCATGTGCTACACTAACATGCACTCGATGTCGATGAAGTACAATCCATCGGCGCTTACCGCTTCCGCACTTGCCGCTGCTTCTCTGCATATATGAGATCTTTCTCCCGCACTTCGGCAACTGCCTTCGTGCTTAGATCGTGCCATGCATCCCGATCATTCGCTTTGGATTCCCATGACTTGTAATCAAGAATAGAACTTGAGAGGCTCACTTTGAGCATATCCTGGCAACGAAGCTTTGGTTTCCAACATGCCGTTTCTCAATACTCAGCTTACCTTATAAGAATTGTTTCGGTATCCACGTTAATTCCATACGGCTCACATGACAAAGCCACCTCATGTGTCTCAGGAATAGAATGCAGTCTACTGCATACATTCCACTTTGTCGCAACACTTCCGTGTCCGCAACTCTGTTGCCCCTCCGATGCGCAGAATCCGTCGCAAACATCGTTGATGGATCCGTTAGAGATATCGCACATCCCGACGGTACATCGTCCACGTTTCATTGCCGTATGGAAGAACGGAGAGCACCATGGATTTGTACATCATCAGATTCGTGCAAATGCTAAGCTGATGGTTGTTCCACACTCGGCACTCAAGCTTTCCGAATGCCGCCGCTGTCTTCGAAACGCGGATATGCAGCTCACTGTGCAGCTGCTGGTCAGTCGAAACAACACTCCAAAGGTGGCAAAAGCGGGAGGTGGTCTCCAATACTTCAGCCCCAATGCTGATTCGCGGCACCATTGCAGACTGCACACCCGGTGAACGCTGAAAGAGACAGACAGTTTTGCTTGTGTTGATGGTGAGCCCGAATTTGGCCGCTGTCGAAGCTGGAGCACTAGTCATGTGCTGCAACTCATCCGCGCTGTGTGCAAACAACACACAGTCGTCAGCAAACAGCAACATACGGATAGTTGTATCACAGACTACAGTTCTCGCACCGAAACGACGGATGTTCAGCAACCCACCATCAATACGGTGCTCCACACGAACACCGTAAGCACAAGCCGCATCAAAAGCACAAGACATCATGGCATGAATTTACTTATTAAACAGGACAGGAGCTAAGACACAGCCTTGCTTCACACCAGAGACAACTGCAAAGTCACCCGAGGTCTCTCCACTCAGCTGCACCCTCGCTCGCATACCACTGTGTAGACAATCAATTAAACTTACGCGGGCAACCAAACTCACCTAACACCAGCCACAATGCCTCGCGGTTCACCGTATCAAATGCCTTGGTGAAATCAACAAAAAGCGAGTACAACGGCTGGTGTCGTTCTCTGTACTTCTCCTGGAACTGAGAAGCCGCAAACGCCATACATACAGTGCTGTGACCCGAGCGCAATCCACATCGCTCTTCCTCCACATTGGGTTCCACAACCAGAATGACGAGGCTGTTGAGAGGATTCAGGCAATCACTGCGCACACATCTCTGCAAGTTGATGCCAACATTATTCGTGCAACATTGCTTGCTCCCTTTGACCTTGCACAATTGTAGCATAAGCGCATCATTCATCTAAGGAGGCACCTTCTCCTCAGTCCATACGGGTTGCACCAAGTGGTGCAGCGCAGTCATCAACTCGGGTCCGCCGTGTTTCAATACTTCAGGCGGGATCCCGTCGGCACCGGCACACACGCCGTTTCGCAGCTGAGCGAGTGCTCTCTGCGTCTCATCCAGTCTCGGCGTAGCCGCCAGATCCGCCTTCACATCGTGCTGCTTCAGGCCATTCAATGTAGGCCAGTCGATCTCTGAACGGTTGTTCAAGAGACAGTCAAAGTGTTTTCGCCAGATCTGCATTATGTCTGCACTCTGTGTGCAGGTAGCACCTTAAGTACTATCGATCAGCTTCCTCATCGGCTCCAATCTCGGTCCATACACCGCCTTCAAGGAGTCAAAGAATTGTTTGTGTTGACGGCGTTCGGTGTAGCATTCCATCTGCCTCGCCTACTCCGTCTGTCATGCATTTTTAATGCGACGGAGCACACCAGTCAGTCGCCGAACCTGACTCTGCTCCCCACAGTCGATGGGGTCTGCCACGTGTGCAGAAACTGCTGCATTCATCTTCGACACCAATGCGCCAATCGTCGCATTGTTCTCATCAAACCAATCAGGCAGCTTACAGTTCGCGCGCCCAATGTTCTCTTCGGCAGCAGCTGTCACCTGGTCGCGAATGTGGTGCCACAGGTCACCAGCTGTGGCTATGCAGTCCAAGTCACAAAGGCGTGCAGCCATCGCCTTCTCTAGGTCAATACATTTCGCCGCAGTACCGAGGGAGAGAATGTTTACTTTACGCAAATTCACGGCGGTAGTGCAATACATAGATTTACGAAAATATATGTACTGTTTGGTTCGCACCAATTTGTGATCAGTGCCACACTCAGCTCCACGCAGTACACGTGTCATGCGCATTTCACGCATATCACGCTGACGTATGATGACATAGTCGAGCAGGTGAGCGTGACCACTCCGTGGGTGCGTCCAAGTTGCTATATCACTCGCACTCAGTG